TTGCATTCAATTTAAATAACTTATCATAGAATAAAAGTTAACTATAATTTTAAATTAACCTTGAACATGAATGGACATTTAATATAAATATTTGATTTATTCCAAAGAGGTTACTAAATTTAAACACATCATTATTTACGATAATTTTAAGTTCATAGGAAATTCATTTTACAATTTAAATTTTTCTATTAAATATTCATAAAAATATTTTATTTAAATTTTATTGACTATGAATTGTGAGAACATTTACTTTTTATAATATCATTTTAAATTCAAATTCACAGATAAGATATTTTATTTGTCATACTTTGATTCAAATATTTATAAATATTTATTTATTTATGAATATCTGGTAAAAGGTTTTTCAAATAAATCCAGAATTGTTGCCGAAAGTGTTGACTCAACCAAAAATAAATGACAGAATGAAACAAATTGCTTATGAAATACAAATTTAAGGCAATATGGTGGCCATTAGAAACTTCACATGGCTCATTTGCATTAACACCTCGAACCACATAAGAAGCTAGTGAATAATAACATAGATTTGTTGTTAAAAATACTAATATAATTAAACAAAGTTTGCGTGTTAGTTTAACTTTCTTGTCCTTGTTTGATTCATTTTTCCAAAACTTTAAAATTGTGAACCCCATAAAATAAACGATAATGCAGCATGGTATAACAAACTGTAATAATAACATGTAAAGCATTGATAATTTATATATTGTCCAAAATGTTGGACTACTATAATTGATATAACGTATGCAAACATACGTCATATCATTCAAATCGTAGTAATAAATGTCCAAATTGATAAGGCCTGGTAGGTTTAATACTGTACTAGAAATCCAAATAATGCAAACCCATGTTTTGGTTGAGAATTTACTCAGCGGGTTGTTAAATACCCTGATCAATGAATAATACATGTCACATGATAATATCATTATAGTAAAACTGGTCACATAAGCAGTGGTCAGTATAATATATTTGCCAATTCCTCGTAATAAAAACATATAAACCAGGTTGTTTTGTAGGGTGGGTATGATTATTAGAAATAGTGATATAAATCCCAACACCAATAATATACTAGCAATGGCCACGTTTAGCATTAATAGTTTTGGACGCTTTATAAATGGTCTATCTTGTTTATTATTATATTTGATTACGTTAATTATCAATATATTCATAAATGTTGAAATTATTTGCAGTATAATACAAATATAAAATATAACACGGTCATAAAAATTCAAATGCACGATAAATTTGGTTAAATCCGCCATAATATTATAGTAAATATGCAACTATATATATTCATAAATGTTGAAATTATTTGCAGTATAATACAAATATAAAATATAACATGGTCATAAAAATTCAAATGCACGATAAATTTGGTTAAATCCGCCATAATATTATAGTAAATATGCAACTATACTGATAAGTTATCAGTGATAACAAATATACTGTACCTTATATACCCTGTAACATAAGGAAACATTTTACAAATTAATTTTATAAATTTTATTAACATAAAAATACATTTAAATACAATTAAATCATAAAATATAAATTTTATTTTGGAATTTATAATTCCATTGACATTTATTTAATAATTATTAATATATAATACCAATACATGTGTATTTTCAAAGTAATCAAGATGAATGTTAAAATAAAGTTTTAATTATTCTTTTTAAAACTTTGCAAATATCTGCGTAACTGTTGCCGAAACTGTTTACTCAACCAGAAGTATATGAGTGAATAAAACGCGTTACAAATAATTGAATATTGAAGCAATGAGTGGTGTCTGGAGTGATAAATACATGGCTCAGTTAAGTCGGAAAAGTAATAAATTTGCATGAGCAATGTAAAAAAGAATACATTCGATGCAATAAACAAGATTAGTTGCAGTATTAGTCTTGGGATCCATTTATTCATTTTGGGATTTTGTTTATTATTTTTCCAGTATTTTACAATTGCCAAGGTAGCGATAAAAATGGAAATTAACGTGGGTATTATAAAATCAATCATCATTAAATATATAAGAACATACTTTGTATAATCAATATAATGCATGTTCAATTCATATATGTGCCGCTCGCATACAAACTGTAGTTGGTAAAAATCGTAATAAAGGTCGTAAATTAACAATTCAGGTAGATTTAAAACTAAACTTGATAACCATACTACTGTTAACATGTTCCTTGATGATATATTATCCAACGGGTTGTTGAACACTAATATTATTGAATAATATAAGTCCAATAGTAATATCATTAGCGAATAGCTTATAACACATAAAATCGTAAAAATAAAATGAAAGGATATTCTCATAATTATAATATAAGCTTGGTCAGCCTGTAGAAACAGTTGAATGATTGGCAATATAAAAATATACCGCAATAAAAGTACCATTTGCATCGACGTGTTAGCAATTGATATATTAATCATTAATAGTTTTGCACTGGTTTTAATTGGAATTCCAACTTGGTAATTATATCTAATAACATTAACTGTCAAAATGTTCATTATTGTTGAGACTGTTTGTAGGACTACAGTTATATATAATAAATATAAATCTGTATCGTTTAGCATGATTGTATTTTTATATAACTCGACCATTATGTTATATTATGATAGTCTCATACATTTAATATAAAATTATTTGTATTTATATCACAAAGTATGTTTATTACATAAACTAAGAAATAGTTTGTTAATTTATTTAATTTACATTCAAGGATTAAGATATACAAAAAAAATACAATTAACGTCAGATTTTTAATTTATTTAAATTGTATTTAAATATCTTACAATAAATATTTTTATGTTATATTAAACAGTCAACTATAATTTAAAATTAACTTAAATTAATTATTATTTCAATTTGATTTATGATAAGGAATTTTAAATTACAATTGTTTTGCATAAATTATTTATCATAAACCTTGATTATTAATGAACTATCAATTAGAAAATAAAATCTTTAAATCAAAAACTTTTTTCAAGTATTTTAAATCATATTAAAAATTATTACCGGTATTTAAGTTTTAATATAAATGATTACTTAATCTAAAAATAATATTATTTGTAATCTAATATTTTATAATTATTCATTTAGAAGTTGTTTTTAAGTTAGATATACAGTAAAATAAATATTTATTTTAAATATTCGTAAAATTTAAATGAATAATAATTATGAGAATTTCAATTTCTTTATTAAACTAATTTAAATTCTAAATTAGAATTTACAAAAATAGAAACTTTGTTTAATTTATTTCAAATGTTTGTATTATAAATATCAGGCAAAAGGCTTCGCAAATATAGCCAAAATTGTTGTCGAAAGTGTTGACTCAACCAGAAATATATGACTGAATAAAACAAATTGCTAATCATGGATAGGTGTTTTGAATTGGTACTAACAGCACATGGCTTATTTGCATCTATAGTTATATACTTTCCGTATGCGACTAAATAAAAGCATATATTCGTTGTCAAAAACACCAGTATAATTAAACAAATTTTGCGCGTTACTTTAACCTTTTTGTGTTTGTTTAATTCAATTTTCCAAAACTTAATAATAGTCAATGACATAAAAAATACAATAATACAGATTGGCAAAATAAATATAGATAGTATCAAGTAAAGTATGCTTAACTTGTATATATACAAAAATATCGGACTGGCGTTAGTTACATAACGCATACAAACAACAGACACATTATCCAGGTCGTAATAATAAATGTCAAAATTACAAAGGCAGGGTAAATTTAATATTATGCTCGATATCCATATAATATGAATCCACTTTTTTGTGGAGTAGTTATCCAAAGGATTATTAAAAACCTTTATCAATGAATAATACAAATCACATGATAACAGTGTAATTGTGAAACTGGTCACATAAACTGTGGTTAGAATAATATATTTGGCAATTGATCGCAATATCCACATATAAAACGGGTCATTTTGTAGGGCCGGAATAATTATTAAAAATGGTAATACAAAACCTAGAACCAATATAATACTACCAATTGCCACGTTTAACATTAATAGCTTTGGGCGCTTGGAAAAAGGTTGACCCTGGTTATCACTATATTTAATAACATTAATGATCAATATATTCATAAATGTTGAGACAATTTGCAATATAACACAAATGTAAAAAATAAATCTCTCATAGGAATTCATATGCACCACATATTTATATAAATCTGCCATTGATTGTGAACATATAGATAGCAAATACACAAAAGATAACATATTCTAAACTCGACGCTCTTAAATAACCTACAAATAAGGGAAAATTTAAATTAATTAAAATGTATAAATTATGTAAGGAATATATTTATATTTATCTAAAAGTTGAATATATTATATTTAGTTACAGGTTTTACAATAGCTTTTAATATTTCACATTTTAAGTGTCAGATGTTTGTTTATTTTTAAAATATGATCCGCACTGTCCGATAAAAAGTGATTTTTTCAAAAGAGTAAGGGCGCGGATTATCTGGGAAAAATAATTTCATTTAAAATGATTACAATTTATAATAATTTTAAGTTAGCAAATGAAATTTTGCTCCATTTAAACAACTTTATAAATAAAATACCCATTAATATTAAGCAAAACTACATATAATTTAAGTAAATACTTGAAACATTGTTAATATTAGCACAAACTAACTAAATAAATTTTGAATAAAATTATTTAGACATTTAAATCCTTTTGTTTTATCTAAATTTTTATATAATATTTCATCCCATATTAATATTCATTTGTTGTCATATTTTTTTATAAATCAAATATTAATAAAAATTAAAAATTTCTTTTTATTTTAAATAAATTAATTTAGGTTTGTAGCTTTTAAATTACTTTTAAAATTACAATTAGACATACAATTAAAAAAATGTTGCAAAAATTGGTGCCCAAAAATTAATACAATTTTGGATTACCGATGGTTCAAATCCATTATTACCTCGGTACTTATTCACAAATAATCTGCCTAATCTACTTGGATCTGTATTTAACTCCATATAATTAACACTAACATCACCGACCATTAATGGTGTGTAGGGTGACCACTGGTTATTATTAATTGTGGGAACAGTACTAAAATAATTAGAAAATAAAATTATAAAAATAATAATTGTCTTAAAAATATTATCAGGCTACAAATAAGTACCCAGTTTTAGCAAAAGTAGTCCATATATCCATCATAATAGCACTCAAATATCTATCATCACTATTGTACCCTGATTGAAAATACGGAAACCCAAACACCAGTGGTATCTCATCCCAGTGCGTGGGGCCGTTACACCACACACTCCCATAACAGGGGGACTGGCTGTTAGCGTACGACAGATAATATTGGTGCACAGTTACGTTAAAATTTGAATACTTGGCCAAATAGTACCCGAATAATACCACTCCACAGGTCAACCCGTAATCCCCAATCGCGTGCATACCAGCCCCCCGTAGTCGACTCGTATCCCTCGCGTTATATACCGGTGCAAAGGTTTGTGTGTATTCTTGAGCGGCAATACTATTAAATGTCTTATTTGTCAGAATATTCTGTATATTATTAAACACTTGTTGTCTCTCAACGTATACGAAGGGGACGGACGGGTTATACCTCCCAAACAGCGCGTACACTATGTCGATGACCATACCCAGGAACGCCCCCTCAATAGTCTGGTGGCCCAACAGCACCCGTAAGTCTTGGCGAAAGTTTCCCGTTTGTAGTAATTGATTGGGATTTTTGGGTATAATTTCATTACCAAAGCACAGATAAAATGGGAAAAAGGCGGTCAGGGCTTGTGGGGCGGCATCCGGTGTGTTGACGTTCCACAGGATACCGGCGCTCTGGCCTATGATTAACTCAGCAACCGATTTGTTTTGCAGGCATTGGATGTAGTCGTGGGTTGGGTCGCAGTTCATGAATGAGGCAAACCTATGGGCAACACGTGTGGCGTAGGAACGGGATCTCATTTGCACGTTGGAAAGGCATGATGCTAATTAGTAAAGTAAAATAATAAATTATTATTAAATATTAAAAATATATTTTTTAAAATTAATTCTTATAAAGATAATTTGGTTTAATATTAGACTAGATAAGTATAACGTTCAGGTATGCCAATTACATTAGATTATCACAATTGGATATGTTTAAGGTACTAATAAATATAAGTTTACAGTCCTACAAAATAAAAAATTATATTTTTAATATAACAGTTAAATAAGAAATTAATTATCATAAATATCTTAAATGAATCTATTGTATCTATTTAGATAAAAATACATTTAATCATCGTTTGTTTGATAATATAGTTATATATTTTACTTACTTAAATTGTTTAGAAATTAAATCATTGTCCATATTTCCAAAAAATATACACAAATAAATTTAAAATGTTTTTTAAACTTATATGACTTAATTTAGTTTTAAACATTGAGTGTATAAAAATAGCTATATAGTTGTAAAAAAAACTCAAATCTACTTATATTTTGTAAAACCTAAATTAATTATATTAATATTTAAAATAAAAATAATACAATAACAAGTACCTGACTCCAATATAGCTTTACTGAAGTATCCATTGGAAACATTAGATAATATATGAGCGCTTATGGACTCACTGCCACCACTTTGACCAAAAACTGTCAGATCATTGGGATTACCACCAAATATATGAATATATTTCTTAACCCACTCCATGGCCAGCACCTGATCCCAGAGCCCCACATTTCCGGATACATCCTGTCTATCAGTACAGAGAAACCCAAACACTCCTAACCTGTAATTAATCGTAACGACAATCACGTCGTGAGCGGCCAGTTGGGGGCTCTCGTAGTCATTAGAGGACAGGTATGTGAGAAACCCTCCGTGAATGTAGAGCATCACTGGTAGGTTGGCTGAGGTGGACAGTGTCGGGGTCCATATGTTAAGGTATAGACAATCCTCATTGGGGTTCAATATAGTGGGCACTTGAGGGCATTTACTCGCAAATTGGGTCCCATTTATGACCCGGTGTTGTGTGTAGTCGATGGGTAGGGTTCTTCTAAATCTGAGAGCACCTACAGGTGGAGTAGCGTATGGTATAGCCTGGATAATAAAATTATATTAATTTAGAAATTATCTTGTTAAATCAAATACCTTAAATACGAATAGTGGACGTGATGTCTGGCTATTTGTGATACTTTCAGTTGAGGTTTGATTCACACAACCAATGATTACAGTGTTTTGTATTTGAACACTAATTGAACAATCACCTTGCTACAAAATTATAAACATTAAGAATATTAAATAAATTTTTAAATAATTAATAATCATACCTGTCTTGGAGTTTTTGGTTTATTTAAAGTTATTTTGTTAGGTTTTCTAACTGATGTAAATAAAATATCAATTATTTTTTTAAAACATTTGAAACATACCCGGAAGTTTTCTAGATAAATTGGCACATTTAATGATTATTATTATACAAAAACAAGCAAAAATAAATCTCATTTTATGTTAAACATAGAAATTTATTGAGTTTGCATATTTGAAATTATGAAAATAATCATCACACGTATATAGTTCACTGTAATGATATTTAAAAATTAATTATGATTTTTTTATTAAAAATTTACTTTAAATATCATGTACATTATAATAAATGTGTCAACAAGTGTTTTAAAATTAAATAAAATTTATAAATAAATCATTTATATTTTATTATATCATCGTAAATATACAATGTACTTAAATATGTACAGTAACTATGTAATATATACCATATAGTTAATTTTAATTTTAAAACATTTAATAATTTATACTAGACACCTATTTTGTGATATTAATTTTGTTTTATAATTGGTTTAAATACAAGAGGTATATATAATTTTAAAAACTTTATAAAGATTTAACTTTTCCTATGTTTTGTTTCAAAATAATTCAAGCATTTTACTTAAAATTAATGTGAAATAATAAGTTTATTATGAATAACTTTAAATTGAGTTTTGCATGAATTAATATAATGCTATTATATATTTATAAATACTTTCACAATTCATTCCACGCGAAAGGATTATAATTGTAATCATTAGCCACTTCAATAATCTCGTATCAATGATATAAAGTTAATATTAAACCTTATTGTTTACAAACTGTACATTATAATATTCGGCAAAAATATATTATTACTTTTACTCATTAATATATTAACTGGCTACAATCAGGAGCTTATCTTTTAAACACTTAAATTACTATTCTTTTGGTATTTTTGATATTTTAAAATTTTGCTGCTTTTAACTTATACAGAATTCTGTAAAATACTAAATAATGCAATTAAAATTTGCAAATTATATCTTTTTAATAATTTAAAGATATTTATTTAAAGTTTAAGGTTTCAATATTTATTTGTAGTATCAGTGAAAATGACATAAAAAATAAAGATATTTAATTTAATACAATTAAATTGTTTTCTTTCAAATATATAACAATTAATTTTTATTTGGGAATACATTTATATCCATCAGTGGTGTCCTCCTTATAGGTGGCCAGACAGGCACAGACCCCACTGACACAGTGTCGGTGCGCATCGCCATTGTGTACGCACTGGTCATCGGTCTTACAGGAGGCGAAGGCACACATTTTGGTGGAGGCGTCCCAGTAGTAGTCCGGCCGACAGTAGCACCTCTTGTCCATACAGACCAGGTTATACAGGTTATAGCACTGACCGCTACAGTCCGGGTACACCCAGTCGTCCTTATTTGGCTCGCATTGGGTCATACATACCACACATATGCCAAACACCAACGTAATAATTGCCACGTTTTTGGTAAACATTTTTGAGACAATTAAGTTAAATATAATAGTTATTTGAAAATAAAAAGTGTTTTTATGTCGAGTTTATATGAGATATTTTGTGGGAAATTATGAATATGTTTACTGATAATAGGTTTAATATAATGATTATATTATGAAATAAAGTATATCATACTTAATATTGAATTATTTATTTCAAATAATAATATTTTCATTTACCCTGATGCTACTTGAAGATATAATATCTAAAGTATTTTAACGACCACTTGTACTAGATATCCGGTATTATAATCAATATTTCTGAAACACTTGGGATTGTCATAATTGTGATCACTGATAACTATGACCCTGTTACTGTACTAAACAATTTTAAACACAAAACAAATAAAGGATTAATTTTATTAAATTGTCATTTATTTTATATAAAACATTGAGCATTGGTTCCCAAAACCACAGACAACCCGCACCACTATTGGCAATATCATTGAGTTTGTGGTCAGTATGAACTGATAGCCACCAATCAATTCAGTTTACTTGTTATTATTACTGATTAAACTTTAATTCATAACATTTATTTCATTGAAATAACATTTTTATTATTAAATTAATTGATTCAAATTATAGACAATTCATTTATTAGTTACTATGGCAGTGAATATAATATAATTTCTATTACCGATAAAAACAATTTCATGTCTAAAAATATTTATAAAATTAGAAGCAATGAACAAATTATCGTAAATTGTTAATAACTCAAGGATTGAAACATATTTACTATTAAGACTAAGACTGTGTACTATTTTTGCGACAAAACATTCCTATACTGTAATAAAAATCAAAACTATACACCAATTGACTAACACTTATGTCTGGCAATAGTCGGCCAACCAATCCATGTCCGGAACCAATAGTTTGGTGTGTTTTTGGAGCAAATCATACCAAAGAGTGGTATTATTGTCGCTGCCTTTCAGAAAGGATTGCCAATACTTTGAGTCCAACTCCGGACGGTTGTCTTCATCGAGTTCTTCGACAACACCAATGGTATGACAATCGGCGTACTTATTGGGAACTATACAGTCGTCGGTGAAACTGTCGCCGATATACAGACACATGGGATCTGCTTTCGAGCACTTCTTAGTCACCAATTCTTTCAATGCCCGCCAATTGCCCTCCGAATAGATTTGTCCGCATTTGAGGTCATCGACGGCAACCTCACCGCCGATGTTATCATCGGAATCGACGGCTAGGAAGGGGCGGTCACTCGTGAAGAATGTGGGCTTTCGAGCGAATGTCAGCACATAATCAAAGCAACTGATCCACTGGTGATAATCACCGAACGTATAGTTCATCAAATGTTTCATGTAATCCACGTTAGAACTCGTGACCAAAACCACGTGTTTTCCCGATTGCCTCCACGTCTTCAGCAGTTGTTTCACGCGATCCGATGTCTTCATGAGATATC